TTGTATTTATTAGACTATCCTTGTCCTTTTAATTTGCTAAATTTGAATATGTTAAAAATAAATAGTTGGGGAAAAAGATTGGGTGTATGTATTTGAAAAGTGTATTGTTTAAGGAGGTGGACATCATGGCCGGGCGCAGTGGCTCATGCCTCTAATCCCAGGACTTTAGGGGGCCAAGGCAGGAGGATTGCTTGAACTCAGGAATTGGAGACCAGCCTGGGTAACAAGGCAAAACCCCTCTCTAAAATACAAAGATTAGCTGGGCATGGTGGTACGTACCTGTAGTCCCAGCTACTCAGGAGGCTGGGGTGGGAAGATGGCTTAAGCCCAGGAGGCAGAGGTTGGACAGTGAGCCGAGATTGAGCCACTGCACTCCAGTCTAGGTGATAGAGCCAGACCTTGTCTCAAAATTAAAAAATAAAAAAATAAAGAGGTGGACATCAATACATGAACCACTAGGGTCCATGAGGAAGTTTTTGTCCATGTAACAAGAAATAGAAAAAATACGCTAGATTTTTCATGAAAATAAATGTCTCTAAAGGACTATTCTTTATAATAAACATGTCCTTACTATTTTATCTTTGTGCCTAAATGCCCTTTTTCGTAATAATGTTTAGTACTGGTAATATTTGTTTTTAAACAAGTCTATAGAACTTGCATGTGGGGAGCGCACTGGATTAAAGCAGTGTTCAGTTCATTCATTCAAACACACACTTCTTGAAGGCCCATTATATGCCAAGTCCTCTATGGGCTCTGGGGATCTAGAGGTGAACAAGACAGAATCCTGGCTTGTGTTTTTCACCCAAGAGATACTCATTTTGTCTTCCCCAGGGATGACCGGGGGATCAGGAAGGGGATGGGCACCTAAAGGAAATCCTTTGAGTCATTCTCTAGGCATTCTCCTATGTCACCCAAATTAGTCCCATTTATCTATCATGTGTTTTTGACACACTGCTTAAGATGTTTCAAAAAGTGTTCTGCTGTATATTACATGAAAACCATTTTCATTTAAAATGAAAAAAAATTACTTTTTGTGAAAGGATGCTATAGTAAATTTGTTGGCCATTAGATAAAAAGAATGTATCTCTGCCTACACACCTCCTGTTTCTATTCTAAACTCATTTTTTAAAATAAATATACTTGATGAGGTGACTCTGTAGTTGAAATTCTTGTAGGTTTTCTGCTTTTTCTTCCCCTGGAGACTGAGGGAGGACTGATGAGACAGTGGCCAAAAGACACCTCTGCCAGTTTTTTGCCAGCAATAAGAAAATGGAGGGTTTACCTCTAAGCAAAAAAAAAAATTATAATAATAATAATAATCCTTTTTTTGCTTATTTCTTTTTTACTTAGAGGTAAACCCTTCATTTCCTTATTTTTCTAACTAACTGGCTTTTTCCCACTTCACCTAGTCTGTCCAGTTCTGACCATCAAGTCTCCATCTCAGTTATGTATTAAAAGGAGGTGCTGAAATGACTGGCAAAACATTTGTGTATTTCTAATAGAGTGAATTATATTAAGGTTAATATTAATTTTTTTTTTAAATTCCTTACATGTGAGGCTCATGATAAAGAACATGAAGAAGGAGGATGTGGTACTGGGATTTTTATTTAATTCGAGTTCTTGGTCTCTGGAAAACAGTAGTTCCTGAATCTCAGGAAGCCAGCCACTTTTTAACACTTCCACAGAATAGCACTAATGCTTATCAAACACTTACACATACAGAAGAACTCCAAGTTACTTTAAGAAACTTTAAAGTTTCTTTCCATGTGTTATAGTTGATCACTTTCCACCCCCAAGCTATTATGATCTGGTTGGTGTTTTTGTCATTGTTACCCATCAGGAGGTAGCAAAGGTGGTGAAAGTCTATGGTCATTAGACAGGCTCCTATTAGAGTGTCTGCAGAGTAGTGTAAGTCCAGATAATCGGTCAATGCTATGACCAGAGTGATTTCTTTAAGTATTCCTAAATAAACTTTTTGGGGCATTCCTAAGAAATTTTAAAAATTACTCACAAATGCCAAATACCTGTGTTCCTACCACCCTGAAGAGCCACCTGTTAACATGTTAGAATGTTTGTTTTGCCAATGTACACTGGAACACACACACTACGAGTGCAAGAGCTCATCTGTCTTATTCACTGCTAGACCCACCCCTTTCTCCAAGAATGCCTGATGCACAGTAGGTGCTTGGTAGCATTTGTTGAATCTTGAATAATACAGGGCATCACAGATAATGTAATAGCATCATTTGACCACTACTAACAGTCTCACACTTCTCCCCGTTTCTCCAGAGGCACTCTCATGAGTTCAGTTGGACACTTCCTGTTTGTTTTTTGTGTTCAAACATACATGTATTCATGAACAGTGTATAGTATTGTTTTGCATGTTTTACAGTCTACATAAATGGCATTGTACCACGTGTATCTTTTTTGAAACTTGCTTTTTTCACTCAATATTATATTTTGAGACTTGTTCATGTTGCTACATGTAGCGTTTATTTTTCCTTTTAACTGATGTTTCTTCATTTAAAATACTTCATTTTAGTTATTCATTCTTCTACTGATTGGCTTTTCGATTGTTCTGACTTTTTTGCTGTTATAAATCTGCTTCTTATTAATGGTCCCCCTCCTTTCTTCTCTCTCTTTGGGAATAGAAGCATTTTTTAAATGATAATATTAATCTCTCATAATCACAGCCAATTATTGAAGCACTGAGAGGTCACTGATTGGCACTGTTTGCCAGACACTGTGCCAAGCGCTTTGTATTTATTAGCTTATTTAATCTTCACAATTTATTTTACAAACTAGAAAACTGGAAGCTGACTTTGCAAAAACATTGGTCAAAGTCCCATAACCCAGGAAGTGGCAGGTTCAGGATTCAAGCCCAGTTCTTGGATGCCGAAGCCATGAGCATGAGACATACTCCTTCCCTCGTCCTGATGGAGGGATGTTGAAGTCAGTGTGGCCTAAATGAGTTCCAAAAAGTGGACAAGAGTAGTGCAATGAACTAACAATCTTCCTTCTGTCAAAAAGTTGAAATGTCTGTTGCCATGCTTTCCATCTTCATGGGCACATGTTTTGCTCACCTGTCATTTTAGGAGTTGAATCAATTGAAAGATTCCTCACTATCACTTACAATGATCTTTAGGTAGATAATTGGGACAGACTACTTGTCTTGTTGAATTAATCTTTCACAAGGAGAAGGAAAGTAAAAAGTCATCTGTGGGACTTAACCATCAACTGTAACTCTCTTACGTATGTGTTCGTAGTCATACCTTTAAGAATGCTTCTGAGGGCTATGTGTTGGGAAAGGGCAAGAGTCTTTGTTCTGGGCAATTCTGGAAAATGTATTTGAAAAGATATTTTTACTTTTTCTCCTTTCATCCAGCAAGGATGTTTTCTGCTAATTTAATGGGTCATAGAATGAGTTACATTTGAAGTAAATTGCCTAATCAAGTATGAAATCAGAAAAGTGAAGAACGAGAATTTTTCAGGACTTTACCAGTGGAAGTCTTTCTGATAAGCACGTAATACTGGTGCCAGTGATGGTGATGGTTATAGGGAATGCTTTTTACTTATGTGCTGCCTTTACTTTAAAGAGACACAAATCATTTACATTCACAAATTGAGGAGCCCTGTATTTCTATCCCATTTTATATTGAAAACAATTGACATGAGAAAAATAAAGAACTTGGAAAAAAAAAAAAGCCCCAGCTCCAGGTGGAAGGAGTAGGTGGCCTTCCTCAGGAGGTTTGGAAAGGATGCCTCAACCCCTGACACTTTGCTTTCACGAAGACTGACATTCTATAACTGGACTTCTTTTTTGTTTTTAAAAATTATTTTATAAATGTTCAGAATAAGAAGAGGATGCCCTAACAAAATTTAATGATGACCAATGGTGTTTTAAAAATTATTTAGAGATTTGTTTTTCATCTAAGGAGAGGGAAAGAAAATAAATAAAAAACTTACTTAGAGATATAATGTAAAATGTAAGGTGACTGAAGTTCCCACTAAGGTATAAGGTATCATCAATATTGAATTACACTGTAGGTAGGTAACTTGTGCTGAATCCTGGCATCAGATCTTTCCCTGAAAAGTTTTTTTTGTTTTTTTTTTGTTTTGTTTTGTTTTGTTTTTGTTTTTTTTGAGACGGAGTCTCGCTCTGTTTCCCAGGCTGGAGGGCCGTGGCCGGATCTCAGCTCACTGCAAGCTCCGCCTCCCGGGTTCCCGCCATTCTCCTGCCTCTGCCTCCCGAGTAGCTGGGACTATAGGCGCCGCCACTTCGCCCGGCTAGTTTTTTTTTGTATTTTTTAGTAGAGACGGGGTTTCACCGTGTTAGCCAGGATGGTCTCGATCTCCTGACCTCGTGATCCGCCCGTCTCGGCCTCCCAAAGTGCTGGGATTACAGGCTTGAGCCACCGCGCCCGGCCCCCTGAAAAGTTTTAATGACTAAAGAGGCAAAAGAATTCAAAGATACTGCTCCTAAAATGCAGTGTGAGCACAGAATGATGTAAATGGCCCCAGAAGAGACTCTTGTACATGCCTGCAGATACACTGTCCCCACGTAGTTCTTGAGACTGGTCCTGTGGTCCAGGAGCCAGGACTTGCATGGGTTCTTTAATAACCATCCTCTGCTCTGTCCATTATGTGCTTTGGAGCTAATAAAGCCACCATCCCCCAAATGAGGTTTATGCCTTGTGGAGTTGGTAAATATCACTTTGACACATTTAGCGAGAGAAATAATATCTGTAGGTTAGGAGTTTCTGAAATTTTTCAAGCTGTAATTGTGCTTCTGCTTATAAAAAGCCAGTTTGGATGTCTTAAGCCATTAATATGTTGGCCTCATTCCTGCCTTATTCCTTTGCTATGAAGGCTTTTTATGTGTTTTAGCTTTTCTGTTTCTTTGTTTGTGAATGGTATCCCTCTCCCTCCCCTTTTCTAGTAATGCTGTTGCTTTATCTCTTTTCCATTCATATTTTTTTCTTTCTTTTTGCTGCATGGAGACTCTCTGCTGTACAAGTGTAAGTATTTTTTGGTGGCTTTGCGGTTTCTGGCTCTACTACTTTATATTCTTGTGCTCCATTTGCTTGTGTGCTGCCTGGCTGGTCTCCCAGGAGACTGTAGTGTCGTCGTCCATCTGCAGATCCTGAATGAAATAGGCAACAATTTAGAGACAAGATTGGATTTTACAAGATGGTTCAGCTAGCAAAACAGGCGATGAATTTAAAATATCTCCAGCCATGTGTCTGAAAGCAAGCAGAGTGTTGATGAAGAGGATACAAACATTCAAGAGGAGACAAGTGCTTATTCCACTCATGTAATAATAATAATAATAATAACAACATTACTTTTAAGGTTTTTTCCTGATTCTTGTCATATTACTTGTTTTGGGCCCAGGGTTGTAGAAAATTGATGTTATAATTTGCTTCTTATATTAGAAGAACTTTCCTAATCTTCTTCTCAACTGGTATTGTTATGATTTTTTTTTTTCTTTCTACAGCCTTGGTGGTGAGGGGGAAGTAATTATGGATTCTTGAGCTTGGAATGAGAGTGTTATTTATTATTTTTTGAGCAAATGGTGACAAAAACAAAGCATCTCTTTATATTTTTATAGTGACATAAGCAATCTGACTCATTTTTTAAAAAAGCGTGTCTAGGAATTACATGTTAAAAGTGGATTTGACAGGAAGAAAAAGGTTATGTTATTTGTAAGGTTCCAAGATTAGTCTTTAACTTGTAGTAAAAGTAGACATATCTCAATTGAGCTATGTGCAGAATAGTTTAAAATTTATTATAAAAATTTGATCAAATGAGTACAATTTCAGAGTAATGTAGACATTGATGCTTTTGGATTCTCAGAAAATAGAGTTATGGCCTTTTTGTTCACAGTGTCTGCCACTATTAGGATTTATTGATGATTTGTGATGTTAGGACAAGAAAGAAGTCTGTGTTTAAGATTTTCCTGCTAAAATTACATTTAAAATAAGGGTTTAACACATTTTTCCTCATATTTCTTTAGGATATGGGTATTGAAAATTATACCTTATTGCTTACAAGATGCATTTTTTAAGATAAGTTAATTTTGTCTAGGCCTCAAGTTGACAGTGTTAACCATTGATTGATGAGAGGTCCGTTTGCAGTATGTACCTCTTCTTTTTCAAATGTTGACCCCCTTCATCTGATGAACAGTTTGTGATTTCTCTGACTCAGAAAATACTTAGGCATTAACAGATGTCAGGGAAAGGTCAATAAGGACTAAGAAACAGTTTGAAAAAATTGACCTTTCATTTTGGTACCAAAAGAGAAGAGAGCTAACCGTGTTAAAGAAGATGGTAAAGTCAGATTGTTTTCTTTTTCTGGGATGTAATTCAACAACCCAACAGTTGTGGAGAGGAGGAGGAAGGAGTTCAAATAAACCAAATTTCTAGACAAACATTAAATATTTGCTCCTAAATATACCCTTAGGTGGAAAATTATAGTACGTTTTTATATTTCCTCTTGCTTTAGGTTTATATGTAATGGCATTGTAGGAATAAGCCAATAAGATTAAGGAAGTCCACATTTTCTGTAAAACTGAGGAAGAATTACTTCCAAAGAAAAGCAATAAAAATATGAGAGAAATGAGATTGATTTTTTTCCTCTGTTGTCACACTTAAATCCCATGAGGGAAAGATACAGAAGCTGGGTTACCTTCTTAATACCAATTGTAGAAACTAGCCTGATTACAAATTCTATTTTAATAAAAGACCATTGACTCTGTGCCAGAACTTCAGAACTAAAAGATATGATCGGTATAGTTTTATGGGAAATGTAATTAGAAGTTACTTACCCTTGTAAAAAGCACACAAAGTAAAGGAAAGCAAGTGAAATACATTAGAAGTGAGTTTTTCTGATATTCAAGCTTTCTATATTGGGCTTTGAAGCATTGGAAAACAAGACCAAGAGGAGAAAACTAGCTCCCCTTTGAGTGATATCAACCGTCAAATTATCCTGATGATTTTGTGTGTTTCTTAATTATGTCTATGAAATGAAATTAAGCTGAATAACCTGTTCACAGATAGACATGAGCTTGTAAATGTGATTCTTTCTGTACATATTATATATTATGTCATTTATTTTATATATAGTACATATTTTTATATGTTTAAAATTGTAATATATTTGCAATATAATTTTTATGTGTTTTACATGTATTTGGTATCATAAAGGCTTTCATGATATGGAAACTTAAACTAGACTATTTTTGCCCATGAATACACTTTCTGTAAAATCTAATCAAGAGTCAGGGAAATAAAAAAAGACATCTTCAGTCCATGCATTTTTAAACATCTTTCCTCTTTATTTGTGACAATCTAAATGAAATTGGCTAAAAAATATATCTGGAGCTACTTCTTGATTGTTTTACCTACCACGGTTGTGCATAAGACGGATAGAATACTGAAGAACTTGTTGCATCCAAACACAGCATATGTTTTGATAGCTTGTATCTCCTGAGAATTATTTTCAGAGATTTCACTTGTGAATAGACCAGGCAGGCCACTAACTTCTTCAGCCAACTGCATGGCTAACTTTGGGGAGAACTGCCTTAAACTGGATTCCTTTCCATTTGCATTGGGTTAGCTGAGTTTTTATTGAACCCGCAAAGCCTGTTACTTTATAAATAGCTTTTTCTCAGATTGTCTGCCTTTAACGAAACCTTGAAAAAAGTCAAATCAGCAAGTTTCATTTTGTATTTTAGGAAAACAAGTCTGGATTTCAATACAATTGCTAATCATTGTTTTCTCTCCCTTTTCTCTCAACAATACATAATAGCAAAACGATATTATTATTAAAACTGACATAATTGTCAAAACTATAGATTTGTTTGCTTTAAATATCAGTATCAGCCAGTTTCTCCTTGGAGCTAAAGAATGTTTTTCCATCATGTAGATTTTTTTTTTGAGGAAGCATTAGATGAAAACCTATTAAATGAAATGAAAGTATGCAAACTAAGTTCTTTCAGTTACGTTACCTCCTAGTTTATACACATACCAATTTCCTGATATCAAACCAGTGAAAACATCCCTAACATCCATTCATCTGTGTGTGGGTCATGAATTATGTGGCAGGAAGGATGCTGGCCTGACCCTCCTCACTGGGTTCTGTCCATGGCTCTGTTCCTTCTGACAACATGAATGTTAGCCTTTGTCACCTCTGTAACTCGATTTCATCCTTGGAGTTGATTTCTGTAGGTGATGGCAAAGCTTCCCTCCATCTTTGACATTTGTGTGATCCTATTGAGGGAGAAGATAGTGCCTTTCTGAGGGTTGGCTTTGCACCATAAACAGTTGACACCAGTGCTAGCGAAGTGCTCTTCAGTTTCAGCCCTTGATTTGAGTTTGGGTTTCATTTTTTAGAGGATTGACAGGATCAAAGACATTTCACTGAGAAGTGCCAACAGATACAGATTTTTGAATCCTAGCACCTTTTCCTGGTCTTTGCCCATGATGTAAAGATCAAAATCTTGGGGGCAAAATGTGAAACGAGAGAGTGAAACTGCTTAAATCATTGACGTGACACAGAAAGAGGTCAGGGTTGCTTACACTGATGTTACTGTGAGAGTGATCAGTGAATAGTAGTGTTTTCAGTTTTTCGTGACTGATTTTTACAGTCTTTGATTTTTATTTTTGTATCCATTTTAACATCCTCTTATACAGCTTGGAATTAAATTCATTCATTGTTCTTTTCAGCTATATAAGTGGAATTCAACTGGTTAGGGATGGGGGAACAAAAGAAAGAGGTTAGCTGTATCATTTGAGAAATTGTAAACATTTAGAAATAGTTTGGTCTTTTCAGTCAGGCTTTCAATCAACCTGTAAAGCAGAGAAACAACTACTGAGTTAAACAATCGATCCAGAATGTTTCAGAAGTTTGAAAGGCGAGTTTTTGTGGCTACCTGTTTTTTTTAAATTATTATTATTTCATTTCTAGATGACCCCTAAATCCAAAAGGAAGAGTATCCATAGCCGAATGCTGCGGCCTGTTTCTAGGGCTTTTGGTAAGTGTTTTGCTGCTGCCAGTCATTTTCTTGCCACCGTGAAGCACCCTCAGCAAGACCTTAGACCATTTTAGGGATGTTCCTTATGGATGCACTGCATGGGTAATTATTGAGAAAGAGTTAAGTGATCTGTGAATGGGTGTTTGCTATTCTATGCTGGACTTAAAATTAGTTTTAGGAATTTTTTTAATCCATCTCCATTCATTAAGCTTTGGCCTTGGGCTGTTTTTTTTTGTTTTGTTTTGTTTTGTTTTTAATTTTAGAAATGGAGTTTGATCTAGATAAAGCGCTGGAAGAGGTACCAATTCACATTGAAGACCCGCCCTTCCCATCCCTCAGACAGGAGAAGCGGAGCTCGGGATTTATCTCTGAGTTGCCCTCTGAAGAGGGGAAGAAGCTGGAACACTTTACCAAGTTAAGGCCAAAAAGGAATAAGAAGCAGCAACCCACCCAAGCAGCGGTAGGTGGACTGGAGAGGCCCCATCTCTCACACCCTTTTCTTCTCTGGGGAAACTTGGAGGGTCTTGCTAAAGTGCTTTGCACAAACATGAAAGCTATGGTTGAGGAGACTAGAACCTCTTTGCATGAGATACACAAAGTATCTCAACTTGATGCTCAATAATTATGGAGAATGAACAGATTGTGTCACTTAAATAAAACAACATAATTGTGGAGAAGACAATGCTGTAAAATTTCCAATTCTTCAGAACAGAGCTGCCCTTGGAAATCCTTAGATAGATAAGGATTATCTAGAGTAGGAAATCCTTATTCTAGATAATTGTCTCTAGCACTTTACAGTGTCAGGACAAAAAAGATACAAGTACCAAAAGAATTAATTGGTAATTAAAAATTGTTTGATTCTGGAGTGTACACATGCATTCCCCCGTCCACAAAATGATGTAACTGAAGTGTTGGAGAAGAGCCCTAAGTGGGAGCCCGGGTGTGTGATTCTTGACATCCTGCTCTTTCTACTCCAGTAGAAGACTCAATTGTGTGTGCTGATGAACCTTATTGTAGTTTGCCCATGTCTCTCTCTGGTTAATGTCTTTTCTCTCCTTTATAAAGACATTAAAAAAGTTCGCCTGTGCCAACTGTCTCTACTGCCTCTCTTCTTCACCTTCCTGTCATTCCACAATTTACCAAAATCTTCCTTCTGTATCTACCCACCCTTGAAACCATCCTCCCAAGGTCACTCCATACCAAATCCCGTGGACTCTTTTCAGCTGTCCATCATCTTATTTGATGTTTCAGCAGCTCCTTGACAGAAAGCTCTGTCATTCCCAACAGGAGATTTCCTGTTGATCTCTGAGTCATCACACTCCTTTCTTTTCCACCCACCTCTCCAGCGGTGTCCTTTCAGTTTTCCCATCAGACCCATTTAAGTTTTTTATTGTCTGTCTGGGTGATGTCATCTGAACTCATGGTTTCAGTCTCTGTTGTTGACTGTAGATTTCTGGATATCCACTTGCCTCCTAAATTTGAATGAGTACCTTGGGCTCAAAAATTTGAAACTTAGATCCCACCTTTCCCTATAAACCTGCCCTTCTCATATCCCCTGTTCTTCTTGGGACACCATCAGTTGACAGGTTAGAAAGCTGAATACGATCCTGATCACTAGCTCTCCCTCTTCCTCCTTGCTATGGCTACCTCCCATCCTGAGCTCCAGCCCTGTAATGCTGTATCTCTTTTCTTATTGCTTCCCTCCATCTCCTGGGCTGAGAACTACTTTCAGATTTTTTACATCTCCACTACATCTCTTTTGATAGTGGAGAACTATCCACTTCTCTATACTCTGTCCACCAGTGCTCTGGGAAAAAGCCAGATCTATTTAGACCTCTGGCCATAATACATTATTTTGGCACTTACCTTTATGTTACACAGTCCCCAAGGAAAAACAGCCTAGAGTATGCCAACCCTTTTACTCCTGGCTTCATTGTGGACAAAGGTGAAATCTCTCTAGAACAGACTGATGAGGTTGGGACATGCTACCCCAAAATGGTGCCTCGGCATTTGAGAAAATGGCAAAAGCAGGAAGGTCATTCTTATCTTCCCCCTGCCTTTCTCCCTTGAAGCAGATCATAAAACCTTCATTCAAGAAGTGCCCTCTGTATAGCCAGAGGAAAGAAATGTCCTTATCTCTGAAGACATGGGGACAGAGGGAAGAATCTGAGCAAACAGGCCTTACTAAGTGCCCCCAGTTTATTACCATTAGATCATAGTTGTTTCTAAAGAAGGCAAGGCTTCTCCCAGGAAGCCCTTCTCACCCCTCCCACTGTGTTCCCGCAGAGCTAGGGTCACATGACACCAGGAAAGTTGTTCTCACAGACTGGTTGTGCACAGTGCACAGCCTGAGCAACTCTCCATGGAGGCCCCACCTCCTCCGGTGCCTGATGCTTACTCTGTCACAACTCTCATCACACAGAGTTTTCTCAGCTTACTCCTTGTCTCTAAGTTCTATGTAGGCAGGGCCTGTGATTTATTATTCATGCTAATAGATGGATGAAGGTCACAATAACTTACCTGCCTGGTTGATAATTTCCTCACTTTAGATCAGGCTTTTGTTGTGTTTGGTTAATTTCTCTCATTTGAATCCAAATAGCTTGACACCGTTTCAAAATACAAAAAAAATCTAGTTTGTTGTTTTCTAATTTACTGATTTTTAACTTTTTTAGTCCATTATTACATATCCTTATAGGGATATACTTTCTTTTTTAAAAATAAGGGAAAGATTTTTGTAGATAGATAAAAAGACAGCGCCCCTCCCTGCCCCTGCTCAACAACAACCCACACTTTCTAGAACACACCTAGGTTCTAGGGTGTTACTGAATAAATGGTTTCTCTATGGATCTTTCCATATGGAATAACATTAACAATATAACTTGTCTGCGAAATGGCTTGTTTATCCTTGATAAAATGGTGACTCATGGAAAGAGATAATCTTGTGCACTTCTTTCTTTTCTTTTTTTTTCTTTTCTTTTTTTTTTTGAGACAGGGTCTCACTCTGTGACACAGACTGGAGCGCAGTGGCACAGTCATGCCTCACTGCAGCCTTGAACTCCTGGGCTCAAGCAATAACAATCTTTCCACCTCAGCTTCCTGAGTTAGCTGGGACTACTGGTGCATGCCACCATGCTTGGCTAATTATTTAAATAATTTTTTTGTAGAGGTGGGCTCTTGGTATGTTGCCCAGGCTGATCTCAGAACTCCTAGCCTCAAACTTCCCTCTTGCTTGAGCCTACCAAAGTGCCAGGATTGCAGGCATGAGCTACCATGCCAGCCTTTTTTCTCTAAATGTTTGAAAAATAGAAAAGAAAGGAAGGAAACTGTGGCAGAGTCCTATTTGAGGTGCATACTAGATATTGCAAGGGAGAACAGATATTTCTCATCTATCACTAGGTTTCATGGCTGAAGCACCTGTAACAAAAGACAGGTCATCAAGAGAAAAGCATAAGAGAATTTATTTTATGTAAGTTTTATGTGACATGGAAACCTTCAGAAATACAGACTCAAAGAAACATTTTTGTATTTTTGTATTTTTATGCTAAGTTTGATGAAGTGGATAGTTACAGAGAAGTAGGATTAGACAAAGGGGGTATGATCTAATGGTAGTAAACTGGGGGCACTTAGCAAGGCCTGTTTGTTCAGACTCTTCTCCCTCTCCCCATGTCTTCAGAGACATTTCTTTTTTTCTGACTATAGGGAGGACATTGCTTTTATCTTCCTGTAGGGAGGGTGCTTCTTGAATGAAACTTTTATGACCTGCCTCAAGGGAGAATGGCAAGGGGAAGATGAGAATGGCCTTCCTGCTTTTGCCATTTTCTCAAATGCCGAGGCGCCATATTTTGGGGTAACATGTCCCAACCTCATCAGTCTGTTCTAGAGAGATTTCACCTTTGTCCATAATGAAGCCAGGACTCGCAGGGTTGGCATACTCTAGGCTGTTTTCCCTTAGGGACTGTGTAACACAAAAGTAAGTTCCAAAATAATGTATTATGGCCAGAGGTCTAAATAGATCTGGCTTTCTCAGAGTACTGGTGGACTGAGAAGTATAGATTAGCACACCTTTATTTGAGTTCATAGTGAAAATTTATTACCTTATGATATCACACTGCTTACAATTTCCAAAGTGCTTTCATGTCTAACAGCCCTGTGAAGCTGCCACACAGGCACCATTATTTAAATTTTTCAGTTAAGAATGAGGATGCTGTGGCTTACTTTTATTACTAGTGTTTAGTAAGAGCAGTTATTAACAATTATCGTTGTTTTTCTTCCTATGATTGAGTAAAATCAATTCATCCAAAGTCTGTCTTAGCCTTTCTAGAGTTTGTCTCTGAACCCTAATGCCTCAAATGAACTTTTCCAGGTGTCAGAATTCTCAACGCCAAGGCTGAGTTAAATGCCAGCATGCCAGTTTCTTCCAGGCCAAACATGTTGTGATGACCAATTTTTGTGCCAAAAATGTACAAATAGATATTTATATAAATATGAAGAGTAGATAACCTATTTTTAAAACAAGAAACTAGGCACAAAAATTTAACCTTAAATCAAACCACAGTCATTTTAAGAACAATGGATATAGATATTTTAGCTATATGTTTTAATTCCACCTCTACCACTCCAAAAACAAAAACAAAGATGTTTTTTAAATAACAAGAGATAGAATGTTTCTTTCTTTTTTCTTTTCTTTCCTTTCTTTCCTTTCTTTTCTTTCTTTCTCTTTTCTCTTTTCTTTTCATTTCTTTTCTTTCTTTCAGTAGATAAAAGAATTCTTAAACATTACATTATAGCTGCTTAGCCCGTAGAGTGTAACCTTCTACTGTAGTGGTAAGAGCAGGATGCCAGGCTCAGCCAGTGGGCTCTCCCACTCCCTGACGGTGTATATGTGGACAGAGGCTTGTGGGTTTTTTTTTTTAAAAACCTGAGCCAACTTGTTTCTAAATACCAGCATTGCCTACATCGTTGAGTTGTCATGAAATAAATAGGATAAATAGAAATAAATAGGATAAAATAGAAATAAAATAGGATATTTTATTGAAATAAATAGAAATAAATGGGATAAAAATATGCCATCCTTTACGTAAAAGCATTGTTCTTCAAAGCTAGTATTTCCATTTTATTAATTTAGTTATCTTTACAATATAAATCTTATATTTGCTTTTGCCTTTGTACCTGTTCTCCCTTTTCTATACTTAAATGGAGGAGGAAGAGAAAAAAATTCCTGGAAACTGATTTAATACCACACTCATTTACCCTCATTAAGTCAAAGGGATTCTTACCCATGTTTACTAAGAAACAAATTAGCTAACTTTACATAAAATTTTATTCAAAAATTATTTCCTCAGTTGAATTGACTGTCAGAAAGTCTTTGCTTTTGGGAATAGAGCGTCACATGGATAATTTAAGAGTGGAAATGCCATTTTCTCAGGTACCAGAATGTTCCAGCTACAGCAGAGAAAAGGG